CAGCGCCTGCAGTGAGTACGGGGGCATGTCCCTCCATCTCGAGGGCTGCTCAGCGTGCGCTGGGGTGGGTTTACCTTTGCACAGCGGGGTCTGCTGCTGTCCAGTCCCCTGGCACTGGGGCAGGGTGGGTTCATCATCCCACAATGGCTGGGGGAGCAGAGACCCTTAGCTGGTCCTGCCATCGTTGCCTCCCTCACTTTCTTTGATGCACCTTCTCCCTCTCCCCAGTTTCCCACAGCCGCTACGACTCCTCCAAGTCACGGACGTACATAGCCAACGGCACGGGCTTTGCTATCCGCTATGGAACAGGGAGTGTCAAAGGCTTCCTCAGCCAGGACATCGTCATGGTGAGTGTGTGCCCTGAATTCGCAGACCTGGAGCCCCTGGCTCAGCAAGGAGATGCCCGCATGTGGCTCTGCTCCCCCATAAGAGCAACCCCAGTTACCCAAGAGTATGGGGGCCCTTTGGGGGATTTAGCCCCCCACTTCCCTGCAAGGACATTTGTGCCCTCCCCCAGGTATCAGACATCCCCATCATCCAGGTCTTTGCCGAGGCGACGGCGCTGCCTGCCTTCCCCTTCATCTTTGCCAGATTTGACGGGGTGCTGGGGATGGGCTCCCCCAGCCAGGCCATCGATGGCATCACCCCCGTCTTCGACCGGATCCTCTCCCAGCAGATCCTCAAGGAGGACGTGTTTTCCGTCTACTACAGCCGGTGGGTCTTGTGGGGAGCAGGCGCTGGGGCTGGGGAGGTGTTTGTTTTGCAGGGCATGGACATTGCAACCACGGCAGTGCTGGGTTTGCATCTCAGGAGTGGGAAAGAGCCATGGCTGGGGCTGTGGGACCTGGGGGGGTGGAGGGCACGGGCAGGTGGAGGATGCCTGGAGGAACTGGGGTGGAATGAGGCAGCACAAGAGGCAGAGCCGGGTGGATGCTTATCTGGAGCTGCTGGGCAGGGAGTGCTGAGGCTGGAAGCGGCTGCTGCCCGCTCGTTTGTCACTGTCGGATTGCACAAAGTCGCCAGCTCTGCTAGTGGGGCTGGAGCAATCA